TGGGGTGATTTTTAACACCTTAATACAAAAATAAGGCAGATGTTGCTCTAGTAGCAAAATAATTTGTATGAAATTGTTTCCTATACATCAATAGCAGGGAATTCCTACTACAACTAAGCTCCTTGTGGATGTTTGGATGTTTATGCTAACGTTAGTAGTAGTTTTGTCATTTTATTATACAAAGAGTATTATACAAAGAGTGAAAGTGACAAAGTGTATGAAAGAGGAAGGGGGCGAGAAAGAGCATGAGTGGGTGAGAATGAGACTTAAAGGCAGAAAGCAAATGATGGTGTCAGAGGAAGAGGATAAATCAGTAGGTAGTGTATGTAGGTAGCAATGGAGACAATTAATATATAGATTGGACATTTTTAATCAACCTGATTCATAGTATAGATCTTTACTGTCCTGAAATGTATTACATCAATGACCACTCTGCCAGTTAGCGATCAATATTAAAACAAAGACTGTACTGCATTTTGAGTGGGCCTGGGACAAGCTGTCAATCAAAGTGACTTTTCTGACGGATAAAGTACTCTGCCATGTCGAACACTAAATACCATTTAATTACCTGTCAAACTGACTCATCAACGAACAAAGCCAACATCATGAATACACTCTAATTATTCAATATTTGTTTCTTTAATATGCTGCTGCTCCTTCCTTCTTTAAGGGTGGAAGTTACTGTTCTTTAGTTTAATTTAAAGCTATCACATTTAAAGCTGCAGTTCATAGGGTCATGATGTGATGCCATGTTATGTCATTTTTTATTACTACTTAAGAAAATCTTAAAATCTTATCATCAATCATATCACTTACTATGTCATTGCTCTAATTTTCAGATGCTTTCACGTTTTCAACATATTAAAAGTCAATAAAGGAAAATTAACAATTTTGTTTGAAAAATGTGAATAAATACTTAATTTGCATATTGATATCGGTTGGGTTTGAACTACGCCAACACTAGATTAAGATTAAACTTGATACATGAAAGACCCTGACTTATAAATTGATGCCATTCCACAGAACACAAATTAGGAACTTGTCTGTCAAGTGTGGTGGTCATAAGGCAATCAAACGTCACTGGACTGAAAATTTTCATTTAAGAAAGCAATTTCTGTTTTTTTTGCTGGTCTTGCACAGGCATAACTGTCCAAATGTCTGAATTATATAGAAACCACCCAAGTAAGAAAAAGTTACAGGGCAGACACATAGTGTGCTGACGTGAATGTGTCAATATTGTGGTTATTACATTTAAGTTATGTAATAATCTGCAGTTCAGCTTTTAAAAATAAAGAAGTGCAAGACGGATGCACACTGCTCCGTCGTTCAACCACGCGTGAATAATCCGGCTTTAAGACGCTCTTTGGGATGGGAGTAATTTATTTTGTACTTCCTGCTCTTGATGAGAAAATGGCCGTAATGGAGGGAAATAATGGTGGAAACAGTTGATAACACAGTGTGACACACAGGTTGAGTTTGTCCTGAGAGTGAGTCGTGAGTTGTGTGATGACGAGGCTTCTTACTAAGCATACTTTTGAATCAACTAAGACTCATGGGACTCACGATGTTTACTCTTTCCGTTTAACCAGGCAAAGCTTCCTAAACTTCCTGAACTTAGGTACAGTTTACACACTAAATGGCACAACATCAAGCTAACATGTTGAGCCAGTCACAACTAAGAGATCATTTATCATCTGAAAGATGGTCTTTATTCATCATCTACTGGACTGTAAGACCTCAATCTGCAGTGCCTCCGCGCAGCACCAGACAGTAATGACTTAATTAACTGGTTTATTTAGTGGTTAATCAGTTAATTAAAAGCAGAGTGATTGGGTTTTAAGGGCTCTCGAGAGAACCTGGCAGACGTCAGTTGAGAAGTCAATTCATTTTACAGGGCTTTTAACAACACAGAATCCTTTATAGACAAGAGAAAACAGATAAAGACTACATTCAGGGAGTGTGTGTGTGTGTGTGCACATATCTGTAATGTTCTGAGTGACTGTAACCCAGCTAACGTGTTGGCATTCTGGGTTGGTATGTAGTTTGTTGAAACCAGAAATTAATTGTTTTTTTTAGCAGAGAAAAAAGAATTAGGAACTGCCAACTATTGGCCTCAATAGTTGACCGCTGACTGCATTCACCCTCAAGCAGGATTCAGACTGCTCCTTAAACCTCCAAGGACAGCTGTCAAAACATATTCTGTGGTTCATGTTTATTCATGTTTCACCAAGTTAAGATTAGGCTTTTATGAAAAAAGTCATCCTCACAGGGGAAGAGAATTGTCCTGCCCTGTCTGAACACTCGCAGTAAGAGTACAATATAAACATCTAATGTGACACTCAACAAAACTTAGTGCTAGCCCTCAATCTCTCTGCTTTTTAGCAACGCTACCGGCATTACTCTGGGGAATGAAATATGTCCACAGCTATTGGGTGGATTGCCATACATTTTGGTACAGACATCCATGGTCCCCAGATGATGAATCACAATGACTTTGGTGATTCCCAGGCCTTTTCTACTTTTTGAGTGAAATGTCGCAACAACTATTGGATGGATTGACATGAAATTTGATCATGTCTCCCTTTGGGATGAGCAGTACCTTTTTTGTAAAATGCCATCATCAGAAATTGCTCCAATAATTTGACAAATATCATTCGCACCAGCCTCAGCTGTACTTTGTGTTTTAATTAGCAAATACTAGCATTCTAACATAAGATGGTGAACAAAGTACATTTTAAAACACAAAATATGCCAGCACAACTGTAGAATTTTTTTTTGGGGGCTTATAACGCAATGGTTTCACATAAAGTTTGATGAAGGTTAGCATGTATTCTACTTGTATTGTGGATAGGATACAACACATGTTTATGCATCCTCTGGCCACACTTCAGAAGATAAGAGAGATAAAAAGATGTGATGTATCCTTCATGCATTATCTTTAATGATGGCACCTAATTTTCGGAAGCCAAGTCAGCATGAAGACAGTGACAGGAGGATGGAGAGTGAGATGCATTTTGGCCAAATGAACACACCCAAGCAGTTAGTCTAAATCCACTGCCATCTGCCAACCTAGACCTGCCCTTAGCTGTCCCACAATATTCCCGCCTAAAATGGCTGTGCTGCTCTTTTGTCCTTTACTGACGGACCCACCCTCTTTCCTATCAGACTGAAGACAGACACACACAGTATTTGCACACTAGAAGACTGATTCATTTTGCAGAGCTGCTGTTTTATGGGTAGTTAGAGATTGGAAAGAGCTTTAGTGCAATTACACTTTTATCAGTTTTTAATTACTTTGAATAAATTCCACGTTTCTGAGATATTATGAAGTAGTTTTTGATTGAAAATTAGTTTTACTTTCTGCCATGTCATTTTAATAGATAAAGACTACCTGAAAGAGCAGTGTGGTATTGTGTGTTTGTGTGTCTGAACATACTGTATAATGGGCATGAGCAGTGTGTACATTTGCATGTGTGAGAATGCATGTATCTGTATGTATGTGTGTAAGCATGCTGCGTAGGTTTGTGTGTCTGAACGCTTTGTGCATGTGAGTCTGAGCGTGTGTGTTTGTCAGCAACAAACAGTGACTCAGTTCGTTGCCAGAGGCATTAATTGAGGCATCAATTAAAGGAGTTAACGAGTTTGTTTAATGAGATGAAAACTCTTGGTTGTGTTTCTGACGTCAGACACACCAGTCTGGGCTACTCCTACCAGAATAAGGTCAAACAATTTTCTTTCGCTCTTTTTTCATTCTCCAAGTCTTTCTTTGTCACATTTTATATCCCCCTGTCTGTCCCTAAGTCTAACTTCCTGTCCCCTTCAACTCACTCCTGTCATTTTTATCATCCTCTTCCCACTAACGTGTGAGACCTCCGTAAATGCAGATCACTCACCTTGCTTATATATGATATGGAATATTAATAAGCAATTGGGCACAGTTCTTGTAATAATGGAATACCTTTATCTCACAGTAGCAGACAACTAACCCTTTTATTGGTCTACCTGTTTCCCTCCGTTTGCATTCAATATGGAGAAGAAAATAAAACTAAAATATTATGTTGACATTGCCATAACATCTCTGCATCTGTTCACTAAGGTAATCCAATGAGCATTATAAATGTATGTGAATTTAGATTTAGACAATGACGTGGAGTTAAATAAATAGTTTGAATAATAATTAAAAAAGATTAGTTAGCAGCACATTATGCTTCTGCGTCTTGAATGGCAAATTTAAATGCAACAAACATTAAAAGAATACTCCCCCATTAGGGAAATGCTACTTTCTTAGTAAGATGAAAAGATCAACAGACTTTTTTCACAGCAGACATTTTGATTCGTCATAGCACGAAAAACACAGGTGAAACCAAATTTGTAAGCCATGACAGTAAGACCAGCATGCACAATAATAGGGTCCTGGAAGTAGCTAAATGGGATGCAGCTGTTATCAGTTACCTGTGCTTTTCCTACTGTGATGGATATGGTCTTTTTCAGTTTGCGTTCAATTTAGAAGTAACTTGAGAAGACGGTAGCTTAGCACAAAGACCTAAGTGCAAAGGTTAGTTCTTGTAATAATGTGTCTAATTTACACATCGTAGAAATGGAAAATGAGAGGCTCGATGAGCAACCATTCTGCTTGTTACTGACCAACTGTGCCAGCTGTGTAGCATCTTAGAGGGTTATCCCTCACACATTTACACATGTAACTTTGTTGGCTACACTTGTATGTTAAAAGACAAAGGAAGATTCTCACTAGGTGAAAAATGTACTTTACATGTCAGGGATCCTTTTTATGGATAGATGCCACTACATTCTAGGCACTGGTCCTTTAAGACCTTTAATACATGTTGACCCAATAACCTGCATCAGTGCTTAGTGAAAACTTAGACAGCCAAGTCAGACACCACCGCATTACAGGAAGGACAGAGAAATTGTGCAAGGAGTAGCATGTATCAAATTGTTGGACTGAACCTGAACATGTGTTTTGTTCCTGTGTTGTGCAGCAGACGGTGGGACCATGAAGACTGTGGTGGCTCTGCTGCTGCTCTGTCTGTGTGAGCCTGGACAGAGTGACTGCCAGGCAGACTGCCTGTCCTGCAGCAACATCCTGCCCAAACAGCTCAGTTTCAACACCATAGTGAGGAGTACACACACACACACACACACACACATACACACACACACACACTCCCAAACAAATCTAAACAAATGTAGATAATCTGAGTCAACAAACAATTAAAGATTATATGTGTTCTTTTCCCTTTATTGGACCGTTTTTGTATCCGTGACACTTTTCCTATTATGAAAAAAGGGCCAATAGCATGTTTCAGTAGTTATGTTACAAGTGGGAAATTTAACAAAGTTATGAGTGAAATAAATGAAGAACAGGCTATTATTTTGCAAATCATCCAGACTACACACTCACACTCTCCACGGGGCTCCCTTCATTTAAGAAACCCCTCATCCCACCTTCCTGTATTCATCCTGTCCTCCCTCCCTCTTCTTCACTTTCTATGACTCAACAAATTACCCTTTTGCCATTTGAGTTTTAATTTGTTGTGGCTAATTGATTCCTGGGGACAGATGTGTGTTTCTCCTCTCAGTGCTCATGCCTGGTGGTTGTTTCTCTCTAGTTAATGACATGTCTGCGTCTCAGACATTTTGCCAGGGAACACAGTAAAATACATTTTAGAGCACATTTCTTCAAACAGAAAACTTTGAACTTTTAGTGTTGTTAGTATTAAGCACTTCGTATTTAAAAGGACCTCAAGTGAGCCTACTGAATTGGGCAGTTGTTGCCTTGTATGACACAGGCCTGCTTATAGACTGTTGTCTTATAATGCACCTTACCACATACCATCTACTGATTGACTCCCCATATTTAGAATCCATGTCTCATTTGCTTTTCTCCTTTCCTTCTCCTTCTCTCCTGGCTGAAAGGTGTTTTACTTGTAAATCAATAAGGGACCAGAGCAGCCATGATTAGTCTGCTTCATGGAAACAGTAGACAATACACTCAAAGCAATGTGGTATTTAATGCATAGTTACAATCTTCAGTCTTATTCTGACATACATTCCCCCCACATAATAACACACACACACACACA